TCTGTGACTCTCCTGCCTCACACTGACAGTTGGCAGTGTGCTTGCCCAGTGCACACAAAACCTTGGGTTTGATCTCTAGCACCACACAGAACTGGGCGTTACACACCTATAGGCTCAGCGCATGAGAGGTAAAGACATGATGATCAACAGTTTAAGGTCATCCTCACCTACATAGCAAGGCTGAGGCCTACATACATAACTTGGGCTACAGGATGCCTCGTCTCCAATGACAAAATCAGCTTTCATACTCTGGTTATATGCAATAATGCCTGTTTTGCCTATTCCCAGACGATCCTGTTAGAAACAGTGTATGCACCAGAACACAGCCTTCAGGGCTTCGTGATGACCAGCAGATAGGCATGCATGAGCTTGTTAACTTCCTAAGCACATTCCTAGGTGCACATGAGTTTATGTGCGCGCGCACACACACACACACACACACACACACACACACACACACACACACACACAGACACTACATACACATATACACAGTCACACAGAAATTCAGTGCCATACATCCAGGGCTCTTGGCGCTAGTTTTTAACTCTATTTTATTTATGTTTCTTAGTGCCCCTTTCTCCCTGCTCCACCTCAGTCCCTTCCAACACCCAATACTGGGTAGGGGAGTAAGGAGGTTAGTGAGCAGAGGAGGGTGGAGTTCCCTTTAGCTACTTCCTGATGGTTAGGGTGGCAGGGTTCCTTAGGGCAAGTCCAGTCTTCATTTCAGGATGTCTCCAGTTTCTCATCCAGCTGCATCCACAGCAATCAGGAGCAGCCTGGGAGAGCAACAGCACCCTCTTTCTCCTCCTCTCTGTCTCCTCTGCCTCCTTCTTCTTGTTGTTCTTCTTCTTCCTTTTCTTCTTCTCCTTCTCCTCCTCCTCCTTCTTTCTTCTTTTTCCTTGGAATCTTCCCCCCAACCCCTACCCCATGCTCTCTGGTCTTCATTCCCTCTCAGAACCCTCACGAAGCAAATAGTTAGCTGCTGTGGACCATCTGAATCAGTCCCATATTCTACTCCTGGGACCAGAACAAAAACATGTTTACATCTACAACACAAGACTGGTAGGGCCCAAAGTAACGGGATCAGAGATTTTTAGGTGTCCTCTCACAGTGGGACGTCTCCTAGATGACTCTAAATCTAGCGAAGCTGTCAATGAGTGTCAATCATGGCAAGTGCTGATAAATATTTGTTAATAAATGTTTGGAAAACTAGAGAAAGGAAGAGTAGTGAATTGGGATCCATTAGTGGCTCTAAGAAGCACTATGCAAGAGGTTGAGATACTTTTGAGAAGAACATTCTACTAAGATTATAATCAGACTCAAATGTATGCCTTTACTGGTGGAGTAAAGACAGAATGACACACACACATACACACACACACACACACACACACACACACACACACACACACACACACACCATACACGAAAAGACATACAATAACAGCAAAGTCTGTAACTCTCTGGGCATGCAACAGCTTTCAGCAGAACATCAGGCAGAACTGTGTCCCTGGGAAATAACAATCTTATTTCCCCTGTACTTTCTTTCAGTTCCTCATTCCCCTGGGTGTTTGGAAGGAATGAGTGCAAGCTGCCCTTAGGCTTTTACTGGACTTTATAGTTTTAATGTCATCATCCTGGATGTTTCTCTACTATCTCCCTATAAATATGTATTTACCTGCACAATGAAAAAGAATGCCCTCTGAGCTCTGTATTTTTAGGGACACTGTAGTGTTTGGGGTCCAGCTCACTGTCAGGAGTAAATCATAGCACTCTCTTCGAATCACTTTATAAAACAGCAACCATTTCTCTTTCTGAACCTTTCCAAGATTTCTCCTAAGGAGTCAGAATTCTCGCGCGGGCTGTTTGAAAACATCCATGTGTGTGCAGATTGCTGTCTTGCTTTATTTGTTGCCAGAAGGTGTGGCCATCATCCTTAGATGAAAGGTGGGGGAGACAAGCCTTGGGTGTTGCTGGACCCAAAGGAAAGGGATCAGAGGGCTTCTAGGCAAACATCATAAAAAGCGTCCTGTTTTAACTAAGTGAGCAAGGAGTACATTTCTTGAACAGTGTTTTTCAAAGCTTAACCTCATGCTTTAACAACCCCAGATGACTCGGGTTGCCGGCTTTCATGTTTCCTGGTTCACTTTCAATGCCGGGATTCAGAAAAGCGAGGGATGGAAAAACCCCCTTGGGTCACCAGTTCATTCCTCTAAAGGAATTAACAGATACATCGCATAAGATATAGATCCCGCTTATGTATGCCAGTGCACTTAGAGGAGCAGGAGGCTCCATTTTCTTTCTTTCTTTGACATCCCCATGTTTATTGAAATGCAGTTGCCCAAAGTAAATTATAATTGAGTCATATAACATATAACTTGAGGTAGGATATGTGTATACATATACAAAATGATTTCCTAATCACTCTGTGATGTATTTTAAGGTGAATCCTATGTGAGAAGCATGCGCTCACTTTTCCTATTCATTTACTCCAGTCATTGTTATGCATCTTCACAACCTCAAGCCACTTTTAACTCACTCTTGCACTTCTCCTCCTCCTCCTTTGTGCAGGTTTTCATCTTTGTATTTCTCACCACATCTCTAGGTCATTATATTATTTTAGTAATAAAATTCCTCAAATGTGACTTAAGATGGTAAAATGTGTTAACCTATATTGTGACAGTCGTAACTGAGGTAGACATTGAGATGCTAACCGCATGAGGCCAGCAGGGCTCCATTTTCTTACAGCAGTGGCTCTCAGCCTTCCCAGTGCTGTGACCCTTTAATACAGCCCCTCATGTAAAATAGTTTTATTTCTACTTCATAACTGTAATTTTGCTATTGTCATGAATCCTAATAGCATAATGTGTTTTCTTGTTGTCTTGTGCCGTCCCTAGGAAGTGTCATTTGACCCTAAAGGGGTCACAACTGACAGGTTGAGAACCATGGTGTTACAGTCTATCCTCGTACTAGCTCAGGATATTTCAGAAGTGATGTCTCTAGGAGCCTTCCTGGTTGGTCTCTTTCCCAGGAAAAAATGATCATGGAGAGGTTCTAATTACTCCTGGATGCTGTTCTGGTTTGATGGAAATATATTTTTCAGTTTTCATGTAACAGAAGACTCCTTTCTGTCTGTATAATGTTTTCTTCGGTATCAGCTTTCTGTTGGTGGTAGCTCACACCTTCTATAAAGCCATGGTCTGTGAAGGTCAGAGGGATCAAGATAGCCATGATGGCTAGAGCTGGTTGCAAGGCCACCCCTAGTGTATGCTGGCTTCCTCTTAGAGAATCCCTGCTCCAAGCATCCTTAACTCTTAGCACATTTGGTGACCATGGGGTCTATGTCACCTGGGGAGAGAGAACCCCATTATTGCATGTGGTGAACTCTGGTCACCTCCTCCTTCTTTGTGTTTGACTCGTCATCTGTCATCTGAGAAGTAGCAAGAGATGCAGCACTGTAGTGCATCGAGTTTCCTTCTTCTCCAGAAACTCCACCTTCTCCTCATGAACACGGCTTCCTTGAGGAAGACGATGTCTTCTGCCACCCAGCCTCCTAGCATGAAGGACCTGAAGTTCCCGTGTGTTTCTGGAGCTATGTGGAACTCTGTATGTGTTCTTTAGTGAGTATTTCCACTTTATATGAGCCAGGCTTTCCAGACCCATTGAGTAGAATCACAGAGTTGAAGGTATAAATGGAAATAAACACAGCCTCTTTTGCTTTTGCGCCTTAATTGCTGGCTACCCACTGGAAACACCACTACATGTGTTTGCTGGTTTGAGGCTGTAGCCCATTCTACTTAGAGGAACTTAGTCTGCTGGGCGTCACATGCTGGATCCACCTCTTTTGCTCCCAGTGACACCCACGGATGGCTGGGACTTCATTACAGGTGAGGAGGCATGGAAGAATGGCGTCTAGCAGCAATTAGATAGATGATGGTGTCTGTTTCAGAGGAAGGCCTTCTGGATTGAGACGGAGTCCTGGCCGATGAACACATAAACAGAAGTAGTCTGAGCAAGCTCTCAGGGTAGGGAGCAAAATCAATTCATGATAGAAATTTGAATCATTAAAATTTCATTTTAGAAATTTTAAGAGACAACCACAAGACCAGAAAGGGCTAGGGATCGTATACCTTGTGTGTTGGGCAGTCTGGGAGATGAGTTGCTTTGGGAAAAGGTTTTGACTCACGTAGGTGCTGCCTTCACTCACCCATGCACTCTCCCCACATACACATAACTAAAAGGCAAATAAAGCTTCAAAAAGAAGGACAAGGGTGTGCTGTGAAGTACACCAGTGGTCGCACCACAGCTTCCTCTGATTGAGGCCTTGGTTTCCAGAACAAGACTCAGGATGTAGAAAGCTCCACCCCGCCTGAGGAAGCCGAGTCTCAGGGGCTCAGGAAGGCCAGCTCTAAGAGTGTATCGGCAGAGGAGACTCTCCCACACACCGAGCTGCCTGCAAGCCGGTTGGGGTGGGCTTTTCCGTGATGAGACCCCCTTGGGAGTCATCTCTGCTCCTTTAAGTCACCCATCATCTGTGCTCCGGTAGGTGACCTCAATAGAAACTCAGTGGTTCACAGCAGTGATCTGTCATGGGCTCCCCATCTTGGGTAAGTAGGCTTGTGTGTGTGTGTGTGCACTTGTGTGCCTGTGTGCATCTGTGTTTTGTCTACCAAGGGAAAGCCTCACACAACACCAACATATGTACATGCTTAAGAACTGGATGGCATAGGCTATTCACAGAAGTGATTATGGACAAAGGTGGATTGAAGCCTGCCATCTTGCCGTGTGTTTTCCATTGCTGTGTTCTGCACAGCCTTGCGTCAGAGGTGATTTGTTTCTTATGCATGAGAAATAGGAAACAAGTCAAGTGAACTCTCATGTCTATGTGGTTACTCCTCCACTCAACAGTACACACAAGATCAACACAGCTTCCATTTCTTGGTTAGGCTGGCTGTGATTTAAGTAGCGTTTCCCCAGAAGAAACTGAATTCACAAAGTGAAAGTATTAAACCAGAATTTAATTATATACAAACAACGTTTCTTAACACTGTTCTTTCATAACTTTCAACCTGGGGCAGGGAAGGAGTGGCCCAGCCAGCCAGGAGATGATGTAGGGAACAAGCAATGTGTGTGTGTCTGCGTACTTCGGTAATGCTGCGGCAGGGGGATATTAAACGAGACTCCGGAGCACAGTTGTCGTTTCTTTGCTCATTTGGCTCCTCGGCGCTGCCTGAAGTAGCGGTTGTAGGCAGCGCTGTACCCGTAGACCATGGCATAGCGCTCACACAACTTGTAGTCGTCACAGGCTTCCCTGTTGATCTCGTGGGTGGGTTTGTTGTGTTCTCGGACCCTGGAGAGTGGAGAGGGAGGCCAAAGTTGCAGAGCAGAAAGACAATGGTACAGTCAGAAAAAGGAAAGCTTGAGGGGGTACAGGAAAGAGCCCTTCCCCCACACTAATAGGTGTTTGAAGAGCAGGCATGGGGTGGGGAAGGACAGGTTTTGATTTTTTTATTATTTTTATGACTGAAAACAGAAGCTTTCTTTCTGTCTCCCTTTTTTTTTTCTTCCTCCCCACCTCCTTTCTAAGCCCAAAGCAAAATAGTTTCTAAGCATTGTGTTTTCTCTGTGTTGTTTTTCAATTCTTTGAGTTCAGGATATAGAAATAGCCAGGAAGCATCTTCCCTACTCTGTTCATATCTGGGCTAGGACCCTGGGAAGGATGGCTACCCGCATCAAGTTCAGATACATACTTCTCTTGGATTTTAGCCTGCCATCTCTGCTGAGGGGACATAAAGGTGTTGGCATTCCTCCTGTTGATGAAGGGACCTAGAACAGAAAATGAAAAAAAACACATTTTCACTGAAACAGCTGATGAAAATATTTTGGGAATAGTTTGAGGGGCAAATGCATCTAAAATCTCATTCATCTACATTTTGCATAATCAGAGATAGGCAAAAAGAGTATAAAGAGAGTATAAAAAGAGTATAAAGCAGATTTTATAACCTGCATGATCAAAGGGAATGAGTAACGATTTATGTGTCTTGGGATCTTTTCACACAAAGGCCATGGCAAATCTTATCCGTTTTGTCTTTGCCCTATCCTTTGCTACTCAGATGCTTTTAAAGTAGTCAAGATAAATTTTCTCTCCCCTTAGACCTACAAAGTGGATCATAGGCCACCAGCATAGGAACAAGTTAGACATTATAAAAATGAGGAACAAATTAAACTCAAGAGGAAGGTGTGGGGTTGTGGGGGACACACCTGTCATCCCACTACTTGGGAAGTGGGGGCCAGAGGATGAGGATAAAGTTATCCTCAGTTGTGCCCTGAGTCAGAGGCCAAGTGGATTATTACAGGAGACCCCAAGTCAAGAACCAAACCATAAAAGGAGCATAAAATCCTTCCAATTAAACCAACGAACAGAAGCGAGAGTGCTGTAGCCAGACTTTCCAAGTCCCTCCGGCACACAATCCGATGCCGACGCCTGTGGTCTCTTGCTGGCGGCTCCTGTTCCGTGCTTGCTCGGTTGTCCTTACTCCTCATTTTCCGATTTTGTGGCTGATGTGATGGCAACTTAAAATTTCCAAGTGTTCTGGATACAGTTTAATGCCGTATTACATGCAGCTTTGAGCGCTGCTTGCTTGGGCAGTTTTAGTCACTGGGTTTTAAAATTCAGTTCTCTCAAAGAGCCTCACTCTTCCCTTCCCACTGTCATGGATCTGACCAGCACTTTAGCTTAAAAAACAGGGTGATATTCTTTAACGCAAGCAACTGAAATAAGACAGGCAAGCATCTACTTACTGATTTCATAGGACTCCATGCTTTCGTGAGATTCTGAAATTACAAGAAAAACCCAGTTTAGACTTATCCATCGCATGTTGTCACTGTGTAAGTGTAGAGGTGGAGGGGGAAGGAAGTGTCATAAAGACGGGAATAGCACATTTAGCAAGGTGATCGTTTAAGAAATTCTGGTCATGTAGGAATTACGAGTTATTTCTTTATTTCTATCTTTGCTTTGGGTGTCTCCATGCTTGTTTGTCTGATACTGGAGATTGTTGCCAGTTTGGGCTAAGATTTCCTGGGGGCTATGAAATCTTCAGACATCTATTATGGGACAACATGTTCAGTGTAATGTGGAGTTTGCAGAATGCCTTCTTTTCTGATGTAATTTATTCAGGGGCCGGTTTGAGACCAGAGTCAAGGAAGTTCAAGGTGGGTATGCGGCAGCCAGGCTGCTCCAGGGAGGAAGCTCCAGGGTGGTTATTGAGCTGGATGACCCAGACGGTTTCTAAGAGGGTTCGGAATGGCTCTTAAGAATGGGTGTTAAATTGGCAGCCTCAGAAACCACTGGCTCCCTTTCACAGCTCAAACTGGGCACAGAGCCAGGGCGGAGAGGACGTCAAAGCAAAGGTTTCTGCTTTTTATGTCTCTCCTGAACACTGAGGGCAAAGTGGGAACAAGAGGCTGTGTTTAGAAGCGTCTGCCTGCCTAAAAGGTGAGAAAAGGAGACAAGGAAAGAAAAAAAAAAACATATACAGAAAGTATATGAATAATTCAAAATTTGAGAAGCATGACAGAGCTGTTCATATGATTTAGACTTAAAAACAACTAAATATGACCAACACAATTTAAACAGAGTTATATAAATAAGCTGGCTTCAAATCTGTGAACAAATCACGCATGACTTAACATATAGGTAGCAGAAAAATTATTCTTTGTAAACAATCGTGAAATAGTTCTAAAAATCCAGCTGTAAAGTTTCTTTTAAAAGTAAACTCGCGGAATAAACGTGCTAAGCTTATGGTACTGTCTGCCTTAGAAGGGCTCTCTCTAGCCTAACAGTCCCATGAAAACTTATTTTTCTTAAAGTAAATGTTTCACCAAATATCCTTAATCCACCAATACTCGAGTTTGAGTAAGCAGGCATTCTTAAAGATCAAACTGTAGTGGTTAGGAATTGACACATTTCTGAAACATCTTGGTTTCCAGGGACGTAGATTTATCCCTGAAAGGACCCACCTGTTAAATAGCTCACTCGCACTGGGACATTTAGACTATGAAACAGATGCGATGGAGTGATCGGTGACCATGGAGAGAGGAAAACTCAAATTCGAGATACTCTGGATTATACTGGAAGAAGGGGGAAAGAAGAGGAGGGGGGAGAGAGAGAAAGTAGGACTGAAGAGAAGCCAGAGGCAGGACAGGAAGGCTCCACTGAGAGCAGGGAGAGAAGTTTCTCACCGTAGCACAGGGCTGCCATGGCCAGCGCAGCCAGGATGGCCAGAGGGAGCAGGCTCTTCATGGTGTCTGTGGGTCTGCCTCTGAGTCCGGCGTGGCAGCAGAGGGGAGCGGCTCCAGCATGCTGCTGGGGATGGCTGAGCTGTTTTTATAGGAACTCGAGCAGCTGAAAGAGGAGGGGCAGGAGGGAGGGGGCTGGAAAAGGTGGGATGGCTTGGCACTAAGCTTGCCTTGGGAGCTCTCCCAAGTACTCATTCCTTCCAGATAGTGTCTACACAGCAGCGTGGGCAGTTTCCTTTCGCTTGTGGTCCTGGCTGTGCTACAGCAGGATGCTGTCTTGGTGCAGAGATTATGGCCACCCTGTGTCGGCGAGCCAGACCCTGGGCACAGGTCCACAGTTTGCCTTTCGAGTTTCTCCTCTGATCTACTTGCTGGCCCTGACCACCAGATGTTGGGGCTTGGTCCACAGACAGAGCTGTAGTGTTCTCTTTGATAGATGGAAGAGAGGTCCCAGGGGAGAAAGCCCTTCCCACCCCTACCCCAGATGTCTGTGATAGCTTAGACATCTTCACAGTAGGGCAGATATAGCTCCAGGCTATGCCCTTTACCGTCAACCATAATGTATCCTCCCATGCGGGTTTTCACAAGTCTGTATCTCACTACAGCATGAACTCTGGGGCTGTTGCTTCCCTTACAGGAGAATTTCATCATGGTGCCTTTGTCTGATGGAAGGATCTCCTGCTTTTGTTTTTGCTCTCTCTCTCCCTCAGGAAAATCTTCTACTCCATGGTGTCTTGGCTGCTTAGATATCCTTGAGTCTTTTTCATGGCTCCACAGTCTTGGGTCTCAGGAACACACTGTAGAAGATCTATGGCCTCAAGGCCTTGGGCTTGGCATGAAACAGCAAAAAGACCCGGCTGTGGCCTGCTGGACTTTTCCTTTTCCTGGGACACCTATGTTTTTCCACTTTGCACCTGGGGGAAGGCTTTCACAGGTGCTCCAGGATTCCCTGTTAAACAGGCAGCCCAACCAAAACCTGTGAGGTTAGTGAGTGTAAGGAAACAATAAATCTCTGCTTTTCCCTTCTGTAAAAACAAAGAAACAGGCCTGGAGAGAATGGCTCTGAGGTTAAGAGCAGTGGTTTGCTCTTCCTAGAGGTCCTGAGTTCAATTCCCAGAACCCACATGGTGGCTCTCAACCATCTGTAACGAGATCTGGTGCTCTCTTCTGGCCTACAGGTGTATATGGTGGCAGAAACTGTATACATAAGAAGTAAATAAATCTTTAACAAACAAACAAAGTTTATGGGCTGCAGAGATGGATGAATAATTTAGGGAGCTTGCTGCTCTTGCAGATGACTGGAGTTTACTTTCCAGTACCCATACTGGGTGGCTCATAACTGCCTGTAACTCCAGCTCCAGGGACTCTAGTGGCCTCTTCTGGCTTCTGTGGGTACCTACACATAAGTGTATCACACACACACACACACACGCACACAGACTGCTTCCAAGTGCTGGGCTGTGTGTATGTGTGTGTGTGTGTGTGTGAAGGTCAGAGTGCAACTTTAGCTGTTGGTTCTCACCTTCCACCTTGTTTAAGGCAGGGCACCTCAGGAGCTTCAGAAGGTAGGCGATCCTCCTATCTTCCTCTCCCATCTTACCTTAGGAGTGTTGGGGCTGTAGATGCCTGTGAGTTTCAGGGATTAAACTCATGTTGTCAGATTGTGTAGCTGACACTTTTATCCACTGAGTTACCTCTCTGGCCCCAAATTGGGCCACTTTAAATGAGGCAGTCTCAGTGCCTCCATCTTCACTTCAGCACAATGGTCAGATCAAGCCCTTACGCTAGCCAGGCCAGGCAACTCCTCTACCATTGTGCTGTATCACTCATTCCAAGCCAGTCATATATAGTTATATATAGTGTGTGTATCATTGTGTATGTGTTGTGTATGTGTCTCTGTGTGTGCATATGTGTACCTTTGTAGGTAGAGGCTACAGGTTATGTGGTGTGTCTCTCTCAATCACTTTTCATTTTATTTTTTTTTTTTGAGACAGGGCCTCTCGCTGAACCTATAGCTTGACAATTTTGTCTCAGTGGCTGGCACACTAAGGATCCCCTGCCCCTGCCTCCCAGGCTCTGGCTTTACCACTGTGACGGACTTTTTAGGTGGGTTCTAGGGGTCCAACACAGTTACTTGTGCTGTCATGGTGAGCATTTTAATGACTGAGCTATTTCCTTAGCTCATAATAAATTCTTACAAAGAGGACTTGAAACACCCTGTGAACAGGCATGGGCTCTGCATTGCAAAGGGCCTGGATTGACCCATCTGAATAAAGACATAGAGATATCTAGCTAGCTAGAGAGAGAGAGAGAGAGAGAGAGAGAGAGGAAGAGAGAGAGAGAAAGAGAGAGGGGAATGGGAAGTGGAAAAGAACTGGGAAAGGAGATATGAGATATTTGTAGATTGATATTTAGGGTGACTTTTAAGTAGAGTTTGATTTACAGAGAATAAAACCTCTAAGTTGCCCTTGGATGTACTGAAAATGGGACATAAGGAAGACAAAAAAGCTACTTTGATTATTGATAGGATTGTTTGAGACGGTAAATTATCACTTGAGGATCACCAGGAGTTATTTGAAGTTTCAGTCATCTGACATTCCAACTTATGTTTGAATTTAAATAATCATAATAGACATCTAGAGAGCCATTCCTCCTTAACCAACAGAAGTGCAGCATAGTAGAGAGAACGATAGAACACTCCCAGGAGTGTCTGCAAAGTGTAAGACAGCCACTCAGTGCTAGTTTTTCTAATTTACAGAGTCTCCTCAAGCAAGGCTAGCAGGGTGATAACTCAAGGTCACAGAGGAATGCAAGATCTCCCAACCCCACTCTCGGGAGGAAAACAGAGCATCATGGTTTAGCTAAGATTTAATTTGCCCATCCTTCTATCCATCCATCCTCCCACCCACCTATGCATCCATCCATCTACCCACCCACCCAATCACCTATCCGTCCATCCATCCATCCATCCATCCATCCATCCATCCATCCATCCATCCATCCACCTACCCTCCCATGCATCCATCCATCCACCCTCCTACCCACCCATGCATCCATCCATCCACCCACTCACCCACCCTCCCACCCACCCAATCACTCACCCATCCATCTGTCCATCCATCCAGCCATCTATCCATCCTCCTACCTACAACCACCCAATGTAATTCTAGGATGGAACTACAGAGAAGAAAGTTCCTACTATGCTTCCTGTCCTTGTGCATTCGGGAACTTTTAGGATACAAATTTCATTAGTGTCTCCTTTTATCTAAGGTCCTGTTTGCAGCCATCTGGCCTTGGAGAAGACCACAAGTCGTGCCTGGTGTATCATGAGCCCAACCTTTCCTGGCACCCAAGTGCATCTCCATATCCTGAGCAGCAAGAGAAACATTGATGGCCATTAGGTAAGATCAGGAGGGAACAGAAGAAAGTTGCCGGTCATTACTGCAGGGAGACACTTTCAGAAAACCGTTTGGAAGGTAGTGCCAAAGTGCTCCTCCTCTCTTTTGGTATTTGTGAAGCTATAATAAGACACAGAGATTAGAAAGTTAATATATTTTCTCTGCCAACCCTGTACCCTCTCTCTCTCTTTTCTTGCCTATCAGTTTCTAACAAGCCTAGCTAAGCATTTTGTGTCTGAGAAATTTTCCTGGCTCCAGTAAAATGAAAAAAGAAATCTTATTGCCACATGAGATTCAGCTATATTTGCAGAACATTGGTTTTGTGAATGCAATTTTTGAATTCTATTTGTGGGGGGGGGCAGGTTTAAAAAATTATATTTGTGTGTGTGGTAGAACAAAAACTATGGAAAAAGCACATGACGAGAGTTAGCAAGCAGGAACCCTGAGGATGAAAACAGAAGGTCATTTTCTAGGATATTAAAAGACAGTTATTGAGAAACAGAAACCAGGACAACTTTGTGGACTCAAGTCTATTCTTGTGTTTTCACTATTCACTCATTCATTGATTCATATCTTCATCTATAATAAAATGTGTGTGAAGGATCTCAAGCATGAGAAACAAAAGTGATGATTTTTTTTGCCATGTTTCTTTCTTTCTTTTATTATTATTATCATTTATTACAATTTATTCAATTTGTATCCCAGTTGTGTTCCCCTTCCTCATCTCCTCCCCTAGTCCACTAATAGGGGAAGTCCTCCTCCCCTTCCATCTGACCAGAGCCTATCAGGTCTCATCAGGACTGGCTGCATCATCTTCCTCTGTGGCCTGGCAAGGCTGCAACTCCTAGGGGGAGGTGCTCAGAGAGCCAGCCACTGAGTTCATGCCAGAGAGATCCCCTGCTCCCCTTACTAAGGACCCCACTTGGATACTGAGTCTATAAGCTACAACTGACCTGGGGTTTTAGGTCCTTTCCATGCATTGTCCTTGGTTGGGGAGACTCATATTAGATGCTGTGACCTTTAAAACAGTTCTTCCTATTATGGTGACACATGCAACCATAAAATTATTTTCATTGCTACTTCATAACTGTAATCTTTCTACTGTTATGAATTTTAATGAATCTTGGTGAATTTTAATGAATTTTAGTGAATTCTGTTTTCCGATGGTTTTTGGCCCGACCTCTATGAAAATGTTCAGCTCCTGAAGGGGTCTTGACCCACAGGTTGAGAACTGGTATTTTAATGGTTTCCCCCTGCCCCTTGGATGGATTCTGTCTCTGGCTCCTTGATTGATTTAGTTTTCCAGACACAGAATAATTTACTCCCTTTCTTGATTTATCTAATCTAACTGAGAAGAAGCATTTGTCAGTTTCAGGCAAGCTTGCGTATGTGAATGACCGTGGGCCGGAAACGTGAAAGCAGTGTTGCTGCTGGTTACGACACGTGTACTATTTCTTTACCTCGTATGACGTCTGCCACGTCTTCCTGCTTATTGAAAGTTTCACTTTTCAAAAATGATATCGCTGCAGGTGGGGTGGCATTGTAGGAAGGCCGCTGCGAAAGGCTCGTCCAGAGAGCGGTGCCAGCAAGAGGCGCTGGGACCTTCCTGAGGTCCCTTGGGTGAGGCGTGGGGACAGGGACACTGTGAGACTCCTACGCTTTACTCCCTGATTGTCAGA